GGGGCGATCTAGCCAGTGGGAGGCGGGGGCAGTTGACCAGGCTGATAAGGGGGGGGGGGGAGGCAATAAGGGGCGACCAGGCCAGTGGCAGGGGGGAGTTAGGGGTGACCAGGCTGACAGGGAGGGGGACAGTTGGGAGCGACTAGGCCGGTGGGGAGGGCAGTTACAGGCGATCAGACAGGCATGCGAGCAGTTAGTAGCCAGTGGTCCCAGATTGTGAGAGGGATGTCAAACTGCCAGTTTAGGCCCGGGATCAGGCCTAAACTAGCAGTCAGACGTCCCCTGAGAGGTCCCAGGTTAGAGAGGGTGCAGGCTGGGCTGAAGCCCCCTCTGCCATCCGCCCCCTCCCCCCCATGCATGAATTTCATGCACCAGGCCACTAGTTTATTTATTAAAAAATAAAAAGTTCCATCATTTTGACATATGTACATATGTGCTTTATGTTTTTTATTATTTATTTACCACAAGTAAAGATCAGGAATTTTTATCTTTCTTTTACATTTTTTTTAATGTTTCACTTTATTACTGATATGTATGTGCTCCATATGAGTGATGTAGGTGCTTATGTAGGTAGGTTCTGACTTACAGCGAAATCTCATTCCTACATAGCGCTGTCAGACGGATCTATAATGTAACCCAAGGACCTACTGTATATTAAATGTAGGTCACTTAGACACATCATTTTTTGGTTGTATATCATACATACACATATAAACTTCCTTTCACTTGTCTCTTCTTCTTATATGACACTGAATTGAGATCACAGAACTTGAATTAAGTGCAAATTTTCATGTTTTTCATATTTTTCAAAATACAAAGCCAGAAACCCTGTCTAGCCAATATGAAACAATAAAGCATTTCAGTCATATCAATTTATAATTAGTAAAGTGTTCAAGAAATTCAAATTGATTTTCATTATCTAAGTAATAATGTATCAGGCAAGTTTTAAAAGTACAGTTTTTTTTTAGTCAAAAAGTATATCCCAAAGTCCAAAAGAAAAGGTATGACTGTCCATATCTAGTCATAAGTAGGACAAGACTGAAAAGACTGAATTAAAACTCTACTAAATAGATTGATCAAAACTAAAGGTAAGTAACTATGTTCAATAAACATAACAATATAAATCAGACCCTCTGGGACCTTTCAGTAGAGTGAAAGAACTCAATATTATTGCTTATATTTCTTGAAGTACTGAAAATATTAGAATCTGATTTTCATATGTCTCCCCATTGATCCAAACTATTATAATACTTCAACACTTTATTTGAAAACTTCAGTCTCCCTGACCAGTTTGGCTCAGTGGATAGAGTGTCGGCCTGCGGACTCAAAGGTCCTAGGTTCGATTCCGGTCAAGGTCATGTACCTTGGTTGTGGGCACATCCCCAGTGGGGGTTGTGCAGGAGGCAGCTGATCGATGTTTCCCTCTCATCGATGTTTCTGACTTTCTCTCCCTTCCCCTTCCTCTCTGTAAAAAATCAATAAAATATTTTTTTTTTAAAGAAAAAAAAAGAAAACCTCAGTCTACTTAGCCATGGCCAAGTAACTCAGTTTGTTAAGAGTGTTATCCCAATACATCCAGGTTGCAAATTCCATCCCAGTGGGAGCATATATAAGAATCAATCAATGACTGTATACAAAAATAGAAGAATAATCAATCTTTCTCTCTCTCTCAAATCAATAAAAAATATTTTTTTAAAGATAGAAAACTTCACCCTGTTTAAAGATTACAAACACAATTGTGGACGGTGACTGAAACTGTAGGAGACACTACTAATATAACATGTCTGGCAACATAATTTTTTTTTATTATTGATTTCAGAGAAAATGGGAGAGGGAGAGATAGAAACATCAATGATGAGAGAGAATCATTGATCAACTGCCTCCTGTAGGCTCCTTCTCTTCTTTCCCCTCCTATCTCCCCCCTTCTCCCTCCGGCCCCGGGGATCTAGCCACAACCCAGGCATGCACCCCAAACCATGACCTCCTGGTTCATAGGTCAACAATCAACCACTGAGCCATGCCAGCCAGCTCCAACATATTTTTAAGATTCAGAATGATTCTTCCAGGTTAGTCTTTAAGCTACTAACATATATTTTAATCAAAGATTCCACATTAAGGATAAATTTTTTAAGGTAATTCAATGAAATTCTTCCCCAAATTTAATAATTTTTTTTTTTAGAAAGATGATTTTATTTATTTTTAAATATATTTTATTGATTTTTTTACAGAGCGGAAGGAAGAAGGATAGAGAGCTAGAAACGTCGATGAGAGAGAAACATCGACCAGCTGTCTCTTGCACACCCCCTACCGGGGATGTGCCCACAACCAATGTACATGCCCCTGACCGGAATCGAACTCGGGACCTTTCAGTCCGCAGACCAACGCTCTACCACTGAGCCAAACCGGTTCCGGCCAAATTTAATAAATTAATGGGGGAAAGTACACTAATCTCACTCAGATCAGTATTCTATAAGAATCAAAAATAATAGAACATGTTTTTAAAAAACTTCACATGCCCATACTCTTAAAAAACACAGGTCATCATTCAAAATTATAAAGCTCATTTACTTATGTGTAATACATTATTCCAAATGTAATTTAAATCATTTTAAGTATAAATAAGAAATTTTTAAAAATATAATTGATACTTCAGTGGAGAGGAATGTAATTAGTCAATATGACATAAGTATGACTTGGGGAAATTAAAGTTATTCTAAAATGAAAAGAAAAAGGGAAACTTAATTTTACTCAATTTTGTAATCTAGTTGCCATTATAGTATATCCCTTAGCCATTCATTAACCTTCATTCCCCAGACACACCATGACTCCATACACCAGTAATCTCAGATAATTTCAGAACATCACCTTCACCTAATTTGCAATTAACAACTGAATTAAATTAGATGAAGCTCTCCTTGTATGTATGTGCTGAGTAGAGGTAAAATTTGGTGATAAGTATACACCAATCTATTTTGCATTTCTTTTCTCTTTTTTTTAAATATATTTTATTGATTTTTTACAGAGAGGAAGGGAGAGGGATAGAGAGCTAGAAACACTGATGAGAGAGAAACATTGACCAGCTGCCTCTGGCACACCCCCTACCAGGGATGTGCCCGCAACCAATGTACATGCCCTGGACCGGAATCGAACCTGGGACCCTTCAGTCCACAGGCCGACACTCTATCCACTGAGTCAAGCCGGTTTCAGCTTCTTTCCTACTCTTATCTACTATATATAATTAGCTTTCTTTGACATTATAATACTTTCTATTAATAGTTACTATAAATATTCACCTCATATGTATCATTTCTAAAACACTTTATAATAGTAATAATTGCTAACAGTTATGAACTACTTACTATGTACCACACATTGTTCTAAGTGACTGTCATATTAATTCAGCTCATCTTCACAGCTCTGAAAAGCAGGCATTATTAACCCCATATTATAATGAAAAAACTGGATCAAGGAGACGGGTGAGGTTCCCACAGACATATGGCTAATGTATGGTGGAACTGGTATCAGTCACAATAGGAAAAGACCACATATCCCCAAGTCAGATGCCTCTGGGACCAAATTATAATAGAACTGGTGCTCACCATGCATGTTCACCTTCCTTGGCTAAAACCAAGCTGAAAGTGTTAACAGGAGAGATTAAAATGTATAAAGCATGATCAAAAATGCAGATCAGAGATTGCAGAGGCTAAAATCAACAGTAGTTAGCATATTAATGAGAAAAGACCCATTGGACAGTCAATGGACTTTGATATTCAGCAGGGCTGAAAATCAGCAAATTGCCCAGCTGTGGGCTCAATGGCTAAAGGCAATTCCCTAACCTGATAATCCTTTTACTGTTTACCAAACTTTACCTTTGATATGCCTGTATGCATTACTAAAGGGAAAGTGTGTATTCAAGTGAATAAAAGAAGACTGGACCCAGTTTCGGTGTGCTCTTCATGAAAGAGACACCCCTGGCTCCCAATACCTTCTAAATTCACATTTCTTGTAGAGTATTTTCATTTGAGCATGACCCCTTATTCAGATCTGAGCCCTAGCCATGCAGGTTACGGCAAGGGAATATACAGAAAAAGGCTATGACTTTAGGAAAACTCCTGAGCAATTTTCACAGGGAAAAGCAAGGCCTGGCATCACGGAGTAGGTGCCCTGATATGAGAGCCTACACACAAGGGCCACAATCTAGTCAACTTGAGAAGATCTACTCTAACCATCCACTTCTCCCTCTAACGTATCATTATTTTATCTTCCTATCTTATTTGATTCCCCAAGTAGTCTTCTCAACCAAGAAACTATTTGTTCACTCTAATCCTCTAAACTGACTAACAAAAATCTATCTTCCCTAAGTGTGAGCAGCAGAAGTTGGTCTTCTGAAGGCCTCAACATCCCCTAGACAAACTCATAGTCACAGTTCCACACTAAGAGAGCTCAGAGACCCTCAATCTGGAATACAAAGAATTACAGCAAACTTGAGCTCCTCCCCACTGAATTCCTCAATGTCTGCAGTTAACTGGAAACAAACCTAACAACCATGTTGGACAAGACATGCTTCACAGAGCATAGCTTCAGAATATATACTGAACCATTAGGTTGGTAAGGAAACTTTCCCTTCCACATAAGACACTTATAAATAGTTGGAAATTTTTGTTTCCTAAACATATTAATTTTGGGGGAGTTAACTTCAGGAATTTTCCTACTAAAAATATGGAGGAAATGTAAGTATCCAGTAACATTAAGTAACTAGTAACTTTTATATTCATGAATCTCACAAAATAGAAAAAAGAAACTTAACCACCTTTCTTATATTACTCAGAGATGCCCCCAATAAAAACAATCATATCACAGGCTTCTTCACAACTTAGTTAATATTTTTGGTAAACACTGGTCGTATAATTGCTGGTTGACTAACTCAGCAGTTTCATGCCATTTAAGAATAATAAATTTACTCACAAATATTTTAAATAAAATGTAAAGAAAAGAAATACCTCAAGTTCCACCAGAGCTGCAGTCACTGCATCTGTTGCAAGAGCACCAGACTGTAGCTTTTCGATTGCCTATGAAACCAAGGGGAGAGATTATTCATAGTCAAACCACAACTTCTTGAAAACATAGGCAGTAAAATATCAGACATTTCTCATAGCAATATTGTTTCTATTATATCTCCTCCAACAATGAAAACAAAAGGAAAAATAAACAAATAGGACTACATCAAACTAAAGTTTTTGGGGGGTTGTTTTATTTTGTTTTGATATATTTTTATTGACTTCAGAGAGAAAGAAATAGACAGAAACATCAATGATGAGAGAAAATCACTGAATGGCTGCCTCCTGCATGTCTCCTACTGGGGATCAAGCCTGAAACCCAAGCATGTGCCTGACTAGGAATCTAACCATGACCTTCTCATTCATAGGTTGACACTCAACCACTGAACCACACCACTAGACTCAAACTAAAGTTTTTCATAGTAAAGAAAACCATCAACAAATTGAAAAGAGAGCCCACTGAATGGAAGAATATATTCACTAATGATACATTTGATAAGGGGCTAATATGCAAAACTTAAAAAGAACTTATACAACTCAACACCTAAAAAACAAACAATCCAATTTTTAAATGGGCAGAGGACCTGAATAGACACTTGTCCAAAGAGGACATACAGATGGCCAATAGACATATGAAAAGATGCTCAACATCACTAAACATCAGAAAAATGCAAATTCCTCTGATATCCCCTTTCACCTGTCAGAATTGCTATCATCAATAAATCAAAAAACAAGTGTTGGCAAAAATGTGAAGAAAAGGGAACCCTTATAAACTATTGGTGGGAATGCAGATTGGTGCACCCACGGTAGAAAGCAAATTAGAAATGGAACTGCCTTATGACTCAGCAATTCCACTTTGGAGAATATATCCAAAAAAACACAAAACACTACTTTGAAAGAATATATGCACCCCTAAGTTCACTACAGTGTTATTTACAAAGGCCAATATTTGGAAGCAGCCCAACTGCCCATCAGTAGATGAATGGATAAAAAAGCTATGGAACATTTACACAATGGAATACTACTTAGCCGTAAAAGAGAAGGAAATCTTACCCTTTGTGACAGCATGGATGAACCTGTAGTGTACTATGCTAAGTAAAATTAGCCAGTCAGAAAAGGACAAGTACCATATGATTTCACTCAAAATTGAAATCTAATGAACAAAATGAATTAACAAGCAAAATAGAGACAGATTTATAAGTAGAAAGCAGGCTTACAGCTGTTAAGGGGGTAATGATGTGGGGGATGGAGAAATTAAGCAAAATAAAAGTACTCATGAACACGGACAACAGTTGTGGGGGGGCATGTTGGGGAGGTGGAGGAAGTTAAGAGGGGGATAAATAGTGATGGATGGAGTCTTGAGCTGGGGTGATAAACACACAAAACGTTGCACAGATAATGTATTGTAGAACTTGCACCTGAAATATGTATACATTTGTTAACAAGTGTCACCCCAATAAGCTCAATAGATGGGAGGGGTGGGGGGAGTAAAACCACTTCTCAAACATAACCAAAAATTTTCCAAAGGCTTAAAGACGTGTAGGATACTTTTAGAGTTAGTAAAAATTGATCACTATTTTCATCCCATACTTCATGATATAAATTATTTAGATTTAAAACAAGTAAATGTTTATATTTAGTTAATGTCTGATATAGCTCACTTAATATTCAAATTAAGACAAAGGGGGGGAAAATCTAGCAACTAAGCACAAAGTGGCTGGAATTTAGTAAATGAAAGGACTTTATTCATCACAAGGCAATTCAAATGGCCATATGTATTACATTAATTCAGTTTGTGTCAGACTAAGCTAATAATTTCTCTTCTTACTACTTACTCTTGTTACTAATCTCCTCAACCCTAACTAAGAAAGCAGCAAAGGCATTTCAGAATACTTAGATGGAAACCTACATATAATAAAACACTTTTTATACTATTACATATTTTATAGTGAGATGAACAAATCGTGGTTCTTTTTGTTTTTTATATGTTTTTATTTATTTCAAAGAGGAAGTAGAGAGAGAGAGAAACACCAATGATGAAAGAGAATCATTGATTAGCTGTCTCCTCCACACCTCCTGCAACGGAGCATGTTTCCTGACCAGGAATCAAACCGTGACCTCCTGGTTCATAGGTAGACACTCAACCACTGAACCACACTGGCCAAAAATCATATTCTTTTGTAGTATATATTACAGAGAGTAAAGATCTATAAAATCACCTGTTTCCTTGCTTCTTGAGTATAAATTAAGAAACGAAAGGAAGACTGATTGCTAAATTAACTATTAAAGCTCCAAATTAGTCAATAAAGAGAAAGCTCAAAAACAGAACTGCATTAAACTTTTAGTATATTTTTTATTGATTTCAGAGAAGAAAAGAGAAGGAGAGAGAAAAAAAAACATCAAGGATGAGAGAAAATCATTGATCAGTCAGTATTGCATTAAACTTTTAAGAAGTTCATTCATTGTATAAATTGAGGAGGCTGAGTATATACTTCAAATGTATTAGGTTTCTAGGACTATAGTTGTTCTACATAATAAAAACCTTTCTTTTTATAATAGATAATGAAAATATTTCACACTTTGGAAATTAAAGACAAAAATATAAAAGCACTTTGAGAATATTTCGCTTTAATGTATTTTTTTAATCTTTATAAGAAAATATTCTTATTTGTTTATGAGATTTCATTCATAACAGAAAGCCTGGATCTCTAACAAAGTATAATCTTTCTTTTAAATGGTATGTAAATAGAAATAAAAAGGGTTGAAAGATTCATTTACTTGATATACAATACGCAATTAACATTCTATTTAAGTAAAAGTAAATGAAGGGTTTCCCTATAAGAGTATTTAGTCAGGATCAAAATAAAAACAAACAATATTTCTTCTGATTCCATTCCTGATTCCACATTAAGTATTCAACAATTTAGCAAAACCTCAAAAACCAAAGAGAAAAAACACACAACTCAGTACAAGGGCAAAGCTAACTCAGGAATGACAATGAATTTCCATGATACTAACTACATGATGAAAAACAGAAGGAAAACATACAGGATGAAAAAGCACCCATTTTCATTTGTTAGGTTTTTTTTTGGGGGGTTTTTTTACCTTCACAGAAAGACATATTGGCTGCCTTTGAGCTGTTTTCTACAGAGCTCAATGCGAAGACTAAAAGATATATGATTATGTGTCCATAATTCCAAAGCTACGTATTTTAATCTGGGAAAGGAAGGGAAAGATCTAAGCATGATTTGGAGAATAAAACACAAAATAAAGCAAAGACCTCACAAATATGAAATTATTTGATGATCCAAACCGAGAATGATTTTATACATCAACTCTTAAAATTTTAAATTTCAAGGTAAAGCTCCTTTATGGCCAAAAGTGAAATGTTTTTATTATACCTTCTGACAAGCTCGTTTGCATACATGTTTATATTCCTTGGCTTTGGATTCCGAATGATAACCTGCACCTGTAGTGGAACAAACCAACCAATTATTAGTTTTCATTAAAATGTCACAAACCTTGCTTATATTATACTAGAGGCCAGGTGCATGAAAATTTGTGCACTCGTGGGGGGTGGGGGTTCCCTCAGCCCAGCCTGCACCCTCTCACAGGCCAGGACCCCTCAGGGGATGTCTGACTGATGGCTTAGGCCCACTCCCTAGGGGATTAGGCCTAAGCTGGAAGTCAGACATCCCTCTGGCAACCCAAAAGCCCTTGGCAGATGTCCAAATAATAGCTTAGCGGGCCTAAGCCATTAGTCAGGTACCCTTAGCACTGCTGCAGAAGCAGCAGAGGTTCCCGCCACTGCAGCTATGCTGGCCAGCCATGAGCAGGCTTCTGGCTGAGCAGAGCTCCTCCTGTGGAAGCGCACTGACCACCAGGGGGCAGCTCCTGCATTGAGCGTCTGCCTCCTGGTAGTCAGTGCGTGTCATAGCAACCAGTTGTTCCGCTATAAGGGTCAATTTGCATATTACCCTTTTATTATATAGGCTAAATAGTTCTTATAAATTGATGCTCTCCTAGTAACAATAAAACTATTGTCTTAACCACACGATTTTAAAAGTCTAATAGCTGCTTCTTTCTCCACCAGAAGTCTTTTTAATACCATGCCTTATCTCCTTTTTCAAAAACTATTCCCTGGGGAGAGGCACTAAAAATAGCACATGTCCCCAAAGAAGTTTCATCAAAGTCACCTCTCCTCCTTTTGAAAAACCTGTCTCCAAAGTCAAGAGGTTTTTTTTGGTCTGGAGTTGATAGCCCAAGTAGTGTCAGGGAAAAGAGTCCCTTCAAGCTCTTCTCAGTTGACCAACAGAAAGCGCCTGCTATTTGGGAATCCAGAATTCTTAAAAGTAACTTTATAAAACTAGTTCGTTTCTAACTAGCATTTGAAGCTGAGGGGTGTTACAGCATACCTATACTACCACAAGCACCACCAATACTACCACTCCTACCCAAATGTTTACATCCTCTAGAATTTAAGTCCAGGGTGTCGCTGAAATCTCACTGATGGTGTATTCATGACTGCCTATTAGAAATTCCAATGGTCCCTGGCTCTTACTAAACACCAGCAACTTCCTCAAGAGAATTGGCTCTGAAATTTATTTCCCTATAAAAGGTTAATTGTTTAGTAAATAAGAAAGAAACCAAGACAAGAGTCCTTAAACTGATGTGATAATTAGGCTTCTAATCAAAGTTCTGAGCCCTCATCCAAGCTCTATAGCTCTATAGCAGTACAGCGTAAGGAAGGTTAAGAATTACATCTCTAAGCCCCCTGGATCCTTGAGTGAGGCTGAAGATTGACACAAACTTAACCTATCTTTTCTCAGCAATTTGAAAGAAAACGAAAATATATCTACTTTTTTGGTTAATTCTTCTGGATTAGATTCTGTAAGACTTTCCAGAAGTCCACCAGTTTGACAAGAAGAAATAATTCCACTCTTCAATATCAGGTCAAAGCTAACCTTGCTCTTATACTCTTTGACTGTCTAAGCAAAGTTAAAAGGAGACCCAGCCATTCCTTCTTCTTTCAGGGAGGTTATAAATTTTAAAAACTGAATACAAGCAAGAAATGACTAAAGAAAGAAAGAAAAAAAAAAAAAAGAAAAGAAAAAAGCCTGTTGAACAGATCTTGCAGAGGTACACAGCTCTGTAACTCAAGACTTTTCAATGATAAGGGACCCAAGGGTTAAATTTCACAGTATCTGTCAGAGGTGAAGTAGAGATTATAGGCTAATATATTGCCAAGCACACTAGATTGGGACTTAAGGACACATTTAAGGGTTTGTCAACCTGGCTTTAGCAGGAACTAGCCATGTGGCTAAAGCCACTGAAGTTCTCTGCTTTTAAGATTCATCACTTATCATATGAAAAAGGCAAACTAGACTGTGTAAATGGACTCTAAGATGGCCATACTCAAATATGGGGTGGGGGGTCAAAATTTTTCTCAATAGAATGATTTTTATAAATACAAACCAAAATATTAAAAAAAAAATACTTTGTCTGGTTTTAATACTACCTAAATATATTTATACTAGAGGCCAGGTGCACGAAATTCATGCACGGGTAGAGTCCCTAGTCCTGGCCAGCAATCAGGGCCAATGGAGGCCCTCCAGGAGCAGCCAGCCAGGGCCTTCTGTCCAGCTGCCGGCTGGAGCCTCTCTTCCCCAGCTGCTGGTTGCCGGCTGTGGCCAGGGTCTTCCTTTGTTCCATGCCATCCCCTGGTGATCAGCACATATCATAGTGAGAGACAAACTCCCAGACTCCTGGTCAAACTTCCAAGGGGACAATTTGCATATTAGGCTCAGATAGATGATAAATAGATGATAGATAGGTAGATAGATAGATAGATAGATAGATAGATAGATAGATAGATGATAGATAGATAGACAGATAGATAGATAGAAAAAATAAATAATAGGGTAGGGAAGTGAAGAAGACATAAGGAGAGCTGTCATTTTAAGATCTTCCAAGTGGGTAATTAGGGGAGGCCCTCACTATATTGAAGTCAGTCTCTTTAATTCCAATTCCTTTCTGGTACTGTGCCTTCTTCTAAGGTGAAACTCAATTCTCAGTGTACTTAAAGGTAAGAAAAAAATCAACATTATTTTCATCTTTTGACTCACTCACATAGAGCTTACCTGCATGTACCAACACAAACCCTCCTCGCTTCTCTTTATGGGGCTGCTTTGTTTCCAACTCTTTGGCTGTTATTTTAACAGTTGAAACCTGAGATGATCTGGAAGGCAGCCCTTCTCCAGAACTCATCCCCTTCTCCATGGTCATTCTCCAAGTTTACCATCTTCTACTGGGAAAAAAAGCATATTTCCATCCAAAAGTAATTTCAGGAGAATTACCCTAAAAGAAAACAGACAAAGATGGTATACATTCCTTTGTACTAGCACCCATGTAACTTATACAAATTAGTGCAAAGATAGCTTTAAAAAACAACAAATTTTAAAGTTATTTAACTTAGTAATACAAAGACTATAAAAAGGCTAGAATTTAAATCTTTCTGTCCACTAACAGTACTTGCCTGAAGTAATATAAACAAAAGAATTGTTGTAAATACACTTCATAACAAGTCCAAATACATTTTATCTTTCATTTTATCTACATTAAAGAAAACCTCAATATAACTTAAATACCACTTTCTACTGTCAGCAAACCAAATGCTAATAACCTGTGGGACATTTTGGAATCACGGGCAATGCTAGCTTCATCACCAAACTGAGATTGCTACTTACTTTTTTATCAGCTTTATTGCGATACAATTGACATGCAATATTATGTAAGTTTAAGGTATAAAACACGATGATTTGATATTCATACTTACGGCAAAATGATTACCACAATAAGGTTAGTTTACACATCTAGCACCTCAGCATAATTACAAATGTTTGTGTGCCATAAGAACATTTAAGATCTATAGATTGCTGCTCAAAGAAATAAAGCAACATATATTTTCACATTGTCTATGATGAAACACTTAAGAAAAACCTAATGCTCCATAGCACAGTGCAAAACAAAAATGCAAACAAAATTATATGACTGAGCCCAAAAATTCAAATAACACTTGTCAATTTTTATGAAAGCATTATTTCTGAGTTTCTCAACAGATAAATAATGAAATATAAAATGAATTACAAGCAGCTTATACCACAAAGTTTCTAATTTTTTCTCAGAAGTTTTTAGCAATCCTGGCTTAATAATTAAAATGGCAGAACACATTTTAAATTGAGGAAAAATTGAACATTTAAAAATCAACACAGATATGTCTGAGAGTAAGGTGACTGAAACTACTTAAACTTAGCCGGGACCGGTTTGGCTCAATGGATAGAGCGTCGGCTTGGGGACTGAAGGGCCCCGGGTTCGATTCTAGTCAAGGGCATATACCTTGGTTGCGGGCATATCCCCAGTAGGGGGTGTGCAAGAGGCAGCTGATCGATGACTCTCTCTCAATGATGTTTCGAACTCTCTATCTCTCTCCCTTCCACTCTGTACAAAAATCAATAAAATATATTTTTTTTAAAAAGAAACTACTTAAACTTAGATTCACACTGTTAAGTAAAATCTGTACCTTATTCGAAAGTGAGAAATAAGAAGAGACAGAATGTATTTTTTTCCAATATAAATAGTAATATAAGCACTGAGTTAGATAACTGCCTAGAGCATACAGCCTGGATACATATAAGAAGGTAAGAAAGGGGAGTCTGGATTCACCCTGAGTTACCAGCTGAAGACTTGCAGAGGAGAGGACTTTTAAACAAGGAAGTATAAAAACTACCTCGAGACTGCACCTGTATAACAGCTCATACAATTTGGTTGGCATTGAGCCTCACAATCAACCAGCCTGACAGAAGATCCCATCAATGAAAGGGACAAAAACAATCAAGATCCAATTACATCAGGAAGGCACAAATAATAACAAAAGGGTCTCTCCTAGAGCATATAGCTCAGTAGTTCAAAGAAATTGTACCAATGGGTCCCACACAACATTTACTACAAATGGCTACCCCATGAAGACTGGGAGTCATAGCACGTATACCTAATACATAGAAACAAACACAGACAGACAACTAAAGTGGGGAGACATGAAATAACCTCCAAAGAAAAGAAGGAATCTTGCCCAGCCAGGTGTAGCTCAGTGGTTGAGCACAGACCCAGGAACCAAGACTTTACTGGTTCGACTACTGGTCAGGGCATATGCCCAGGTTTCATGTTCGCTCCCCAGTGGGGGACGTGCAGGAGGCAGCCAATCAATGATTCTATTTCATCATTGATGTTTCTATGTCTCTCTCTTCCTCTCCCTTTCTCTTGAAATCAATAAAGATATTTTTTAAATGCTTCTCTTTTTAAGGAAGGAAGGAAGGAAGGAAGGAAGGAAGGAAGGAAGGAAGGAAGGAAGGAAGGAAGGAAGGAAGGAAGGAAGGAAGGAAGGAAGGAAGGAAGGAAGGAAGGGAAAGGAAGAAATATAAGGAAAGAAAGAAAATAAAGAATCTTGAGAAAAAAAACTAAATGAGATGGAGGAAAGCAACTTACAGATATAGAGTTCAGAAGAAAAGTTATAAAGTTGCTCAGGGAACTTAGTGGAAGCTACATTAGCATGGGGGGGAGGGGGGACAAACACATAAAAACCAAGAGTAAGAACCAGGCCCGGGTTGGAATGGCTCAGTAGTTGAATGTCAACCTATGAATCAAAAAGTCACAGATCAATCCCAGTCAGGGCACATGCCCAGGTTTTTCGGCTCAATCCCCAAATGGGGGCATACAGGAGGCAGCAACCAATGATTCTCTCTCATCACTGATGTTTCTATCACTCTCTCCCTCTCCATTCCTCTTTGAAGTCAATTAAAAAAATTTTTTTGAAGAACCAGTCACAAATGAAGAATACTATATCTGACATCAAAAATACACTGGAGCCCAGCCAATGTGGCTCAGCAGTTGAGCATCAACCCATGAACAAAGAAATCACCAGTTCAATTCCTAGTCAGGGCACATGCCCGACTTATGTGCTCAATCTCCAGTAGGGGGTGTGCAGGAGGCAGCAGACTGTTGATGCTTCTCTCTTATCAATGTTTTTCTCTCTCCATCCTACACCCTTCCTATCTCTCTAAAAATCAATAAAAAGATACTTTTAAAAAGTAATACACTAGAAGGAATTAAAAGTGATAAAAAAAAAAAAGAGGATCAAGTCAGCAACTAGATAGAAAAAAACAAACAAACAAACACGTAGTCAGAGCAGCAAAAACAAATCAAAACAACAACAAAAATCAAACACTTAAAAATCATGAGGCAAGTTTAAGTGAACTTTGGGAAACATCCACATTACTGGAGTTCCAAAGGGAGAGGAGAGTGAGCAAGCAATAGAGAACTAGTTTGAAGAAATGATGACGGGAATTTTCCCTAGGTTGGTGAAGAAAAAAGTCACACAAGTTCAGGAAGTACAGAAAGTCCCAATCAAGATGAACACAATATGCCACCCACCAAGACACATCATAATTAAAACTGTAAGTATTAATGACAAAGAGAGAATCTTAAGGGCAGCAAGACAGAAATGGATAGTTATCTACAAGGGAGCTCCCATAAGGCTGTAAGCTGATTTCTCAACAGAAACACTACAGGCCAGAAGGGAAGGCATGAAGTATTCAAAGTAATGAAAAGTAAGTATCTAAAAACAAGATTACTCTGTCCATCAAGCCTGTCATTCAAAACTAAATGTGAAATAATGAGTTTCCCAAACAAAAACAAACAAACAAACAAAAAAAAAAAGCTAAAGGAGTGTACTACAATCAAATCAGCATTGCAAGAAATGCTAAAGCAACTGTTATAAGAAGAAGAAACAGAGAGAGGAACATAGGCATAAAGCACAAAAATGGCAATAAATAAGTACCTATTAATAATAACCTTAAGTGTAAATGCATTAAATGTTCCAGACATAGGGTAGCTGAATGAATGAGAAAACATGATCCAAATATATCCTGTGCACAAGAAATATACCTCAGAACAAAAGACTCACACAGGAAGAAAGTAAAGGGATGGAAAAATTTTTCCCAAACAAATAAAAATGAAAAAAAAAAAAAAAAAAAAAAAGCTGGGGTAGCAATACTTCTACCTGACAAATAGACTTCAAAACAAAGGCTATAAAAGAGACAAAGGAACTTAATCCAACAAGACTATATAACCCTGGTAAACATATATGCACCCAATATAGGAGCACCTAACTACACTTTTGTTAAAATTTCTGGAAGACTTGGAGGGAAAGATAGACAGCAACACTGTCATAGTAGGAGACTTAAATACTCCACTGACATCACTGGATAAAATTTCCAGACAAAAAATCAACAAGGAACCAGCGACCTTAAATGACATACTAGATCAGATGGATTTAATTGATATTTACAGAACATTTCATCCCAAAGTTGCAGAATACACATTCTTCTCAAGTGCACATGGAACATTCTCAAAGAGAGATTACATGTGAGGACACAAAATAAGTATTTACAAGTTCAAGATTGAAATCATACCAAGTATCTTCTCAGATTACAATGGCATGGAACTAGACAACAAATACAATTAAAAAACTCAAAAACATTAGGACACACGAAGATTGCAGGTTATTAAACAATTAATGGGTAACAATGAAATTTGTTCCTGGAAACAAATAAAAATGAAAACACAACAACCCCAAATCTATGGGATACAGCAAAAGCAGACTTGAGAGGAAAGTTCATTAACATCACAGATCTACTTAAAGAAACAAGAAACGTTCAAATAAACAATAGAACCCTACAACTAAAATAATTAGAAAGAGAACAAGAAAAGCTCAGAGGAAGTAGAAAAAAGGAAATAATAAAGGTCAGAATGGAAATAATAAAGGTCAGAATGGAGACAAATATAAAAATATAAAAGATCAATGAAAAGAAGAACTGATTCTTTGAAAAGATAAACAAGATTGATGAATCTTCAGCAAACTTATCAAGAAACAAAGAGAGAAGACCCAAATAAATAAAATCAGAAATGAAAGAGGCAAAGTAAGAAGTGACAACGCAAAAATAAAAAGGATTGTAAGCCGAAACCAGTTTGGCTCAGTGGATAGAGCGTCAGCCTGCGGACTGAAAGGTCCCAGGTTAGATTCCGGTCAAGGTCATATACCTTGGTTGCGGGCACATCCCCAGTAGGGGGTGTGCAAGAGGCAGCTGATTGATGATTCTCTCTCATCGATGTTTCTGACTCTCTATCCCCTCCCCTTCTTTTCCTCTCTGTAAAAAATCAATAAAATATAT